AATTACAATATATAAGTTTTTTTGTGTAATATTACCTACATAAACCCGTATGGTACAGATCCGAAACAACCGTCGCGCCGACGTTTTTGAAGTTCTGTCGGTTTACACGTTTTTGATTCTAGACGCGTCACTACGTCGTGAAACGGAGTACGACGTATCGCGTCATAGTGTAAAACGACAGGCTCGCTGGTCTCTCCCGTTACATAAGAGCGTATCCAGTTGTAATTGATGGCTAGACTCGTTGCGTGGTTGATCGTGATACCTTTGACCTTACAGACCTCAGCATAAGAACCGTCTGGCTTGCGCACCCGGTATGGGTAAAATTTCGGGCCTCCCGAGACAAAAGACGTGATATAGCTACCAGCACTGTACGACTCCAGCTTGTCCGTTAAATCGCCCAAAAGACTACCGAGCGGTGGCTCGTAGACGTTATCGGCGAGACGACCACCCGATACGTATTGTGACGTGGTGGATTTCACCCGTCTTGTCCTCGGCGGAAAATCACGCCGAAACGCGATACGGGCCGAAAGGCCATTGCAAAGTCCAGGCAGGATCCACCGACCGCAAGGGCCTAATTGCAATTTCGATAGATTATTTTATTATTTTCTTTTGTTTTGCGTGTACTCTGCCGGAGTTCGAATAGGTGCTCGCTCGCCGTGCCCGAGAAGACGCGGAGAACGAGAGAGAGGGAGAGCCAGCTGGAGTCCCTGGAGGAAGGGAGCTGCGACACGCGAGAGTCGACACTCGCGCTATCTGCGGACAGCAGCTCTACTGGCCCCAGGAGGCGCGCACAACGCGGGACAGCTTGACGTCACGCGGCAGCAACGTGCTCTACTCAGCTGGTACTCATCCACGACGACTGGAAGCGGCGTACATAGCGCCACCCGACTGAGCACCACTACCGACCCCTATGGCATAGCGCCCATCGTCAGTTGCGCATTATATATTTCGCAGAACTATCTTTCCGCGGGTTGGGAATCCATGGACGCCTGGTGCACCCTCGCACAAGAACGAATGTTACTCTTCGTAGGACCGAGCTGTAC